ACACTGTCCACGTCATCGGGAGTCACAGAGTCAAACTCCTCCCAAATAACGGTCTCAAGACCTGCTCCTGTCACCTCCCCCGGGGCCACCCAGTCGGAGTCCAAACCCTCTCGGATCCGAGCGACTTTGTCATGCAGATACTGTGCAAACTCCTCAGCCTTCCCCGCCAGGTGGTCCCCCCCCCAATTGGAGAAGGGAGAGGGTCACCCTGAAGAGGGAGGCTGGGCGATTATCTGATGACGCAATGAGGGTGGAGTAGTAATTAGACCTCGCCACCCTCATCGCCACAAGGTAGGATCTAATATGACTCCTTACCTGTGTTCGGTCGGATTCGGTCCGGGACGTCCTCCAACTACTCTCTAGGCGTCTTTTCCGGCGTTTCATCTCTCTCAGCTCCTCAGTAAACCAAGGGGCTAATTGAGATCTACGCCGGGTCAGAGGCCACAGCGGCACGACTCGGTCCAGTGCCGCGGCCGTGGCCGCATCCCAGGCCGCGGCCTGATCTTCCGCCGAGTCGTGACCTAACGCCTCCGGATATGGCCCAAGCTCCGTCAGGAACCTCTCCGGGTCCATCAGGAGCCTGGGACGGAACCATCTAAGTGGTTCCGACTCCCTGCGGCGAGGGGGAGCGGTCCGGAAGTCCATCCTCAGGAGTGCATGATCTGACCATGACAAGGGCTCTATGACTATCTCCCCCATTTCCAGATCATTCTGCCACTGGCCAGAGACAAAAATCAGATCCAGTGTGTGACCACCTATGTGAGTGGGTGCATGAACTAGGGTATAGGGTTTCCTGCCTATAGGAGGTTGAACTAGATGACCTCTAAGCAGGGGGTTGGACTAGATGACCTCCCTTCAAACATCATCATCATCATCATCATCATCATCATCATCATCATCATCATCATCATCATCATCATCATCATCATTATTATTATTATTATTATTATTATTATTATTATTATTATTATTATTATTATTATTATTATTATCTTGCAGCAGCCAACCAAGTCTTGATTAGCAGAAGATTAAACAGATGGACCAACTCAGCAGAAACTATCGCAAAGAAAAGGCAGCATTTCTAATTGTGGTGTGTATGAGCTTCTTCCTACCTGCAAGACATCCCCTCCCCGTGAATTCACCAAGCAAAATACATATGAAGCCCTCAGCTTCTTTTTGAAGCCCTGTGATACTTTGATGCATTGAACCAACTGGGAAAAAAATACAGATGTTTTCATATGCTATCCTTCCCTCTTTAGATTTATACCTTCAGCTATCTGTTGTTGCACATTTTGAACTACTCGAAATTAACTGCGATAAGATCCTTTTATTGGAACTTACTAACTATGGGGCATGAGAGATAAATCTAAGTGTCCTGCCCTGTTAATTAAACCAAGATTTATTAATTTATCAAGACTCTCGAAACAGACATGTTTAATTGCCCTCTTTATTAATGTGTCTAAGAAAGCTTTAGCATTTAACTGGCATTTAAATGAGAGTTCCAGCAAGATGTGGNCACTAACCGTACCTATCACACCACCCTCCGCCAGCTCCCCAGTTTCCTCCCTTACCACTCCGCGCCCCCCCGACGGGACCGGCCTTGGCCTCCGAGAGGACTCCCCAGGTTCCCCTCGGGCCAACCCCGAACCCCCTAAAAATTTAACAAAACATCCCTCTAAGAAGGTATATAATTTCCTCCTTCTTAGATCCCTCCCCGCTGCCGCTAAGTGCCACCTCTCGGGGTTCAAAACCCTTTCATTAAGGCTGGCCCTCTTCTTTATACAGCACTTTGTACTTGTAAATCAGATTAATCTGGAAAGAGTGGAAGGAATTAGAAAAAGTACCAATGCTTGACTCTGATTATCTCTGCCTAGCTGGGAAAGATCCTTTTCTGTCTGAAAGCCCAGAGAGTTGCTGTTGGCTGGGATATACTGGGCAAGGGAGGCTAAGTCAAGTCAAATAGCTGGTTGGGTTTACTGTTGAAATCCTGAAGGACTGTTGCATAGAAGACAGAGTTGAGTGCCTCTTCAATGGAATGGCTTGCATTCAGACGTTGTGGATGCTCCATCACTGGAGGTTTTTTTAAGAAGAGATTGGTCAACCAGTTGCCTGACATTGGGGAGTTGGACTAGAAGATTCCAAGATCCCTTCTAACTCTATTATTTTATTATTCTTGATAGTTCTTCCACACTGGTAGTCTTTGTTTACCATAATCAGTTTGAAAGATGTGCGTGCACACACGCGCGCGCACACACACAGACACACACAAACAGACATATGGACACACACGGAAGAATCCGGCTTGCTAATTTGGCTCCTTTAAGGAAATACAAAACATATGCAGTAAATGCAATAAAAAAAATCAGTATTTTGATTTAACAGATGAAGAGGAATTTACTGCACATCTATCAATTAACATTTGTGTAATTAATAATTGCTACTAGTAAATAAATGACTATACTAAATAAATAGGACTGCAATACAATGGAAACGAGACGCAATATATTTTTTCTAATAAGAACTCAGTGTTGGTAAGGAAATTCAACTGTCATATTTAAAAACATATCAAAATATTCATTTTGATTGTATAATAATTAAGAGCATGCCATTTTGCTGATCAGCTCTCAAACAGTTTTTTGTAGTAATGGGACATCCCTAAAATAACCTACAGGAATTTACAAAAGCTGAAGCCAGTAATTAGGGGACTGAGGTTATGACATGGAGGTTTCCTAGAATTTTCTGGGCAGAGACCCAATCAAACCAGAGTTTTTCACTGTAGCTCAGATTTATTTGTTATTACAGAAACCACAGAGAGTTCCAGGTTTTCCACACCACCCTGTCTATCCTTAGCAGAGATAAATACGTACCAAAGATGCAAACATGTATTTCTGGTCTTTTTCTTGCAGTAGCAAAAGCACATCTGTCAGCAGAACAGCCAAAATATCTGCCAAAATTATTGGAAAAAGGGAAGCTGAAATCAAAATAATCCTTTCAAGTAGAACAAGCAAAGATTTTTATATTCTATCAGATAGCAAGGCACTAATTCAGGGTCATTTGTTGCTGAATTTCTCCTTTTGGGGAATTAGTCAGAATAGTTTCATTTAAGTCCAGCACTAATGCATTTATCTACAAGCTATACTTAGCTTTGTAGGGTACAGTTTTATACTATGATCATTTCACTGACTGAATATGGATGCTCCAATATTTTGCCGTCCCAAAATACCAACCCAAGTTTCCATTTTCAGGGGGCTCAAATCACCTACAGCCTGAGCACTAGTTTTCCTATATAAGAATATCTGCCCACCTCCCTTTGCTTTAGCTTCTCTGAGCAAATATTTATTTTGCTATTTGCCACTCAAACGTTCCATTCAAAACTATACCTAAGATAATTTGAATGCAAAGGATCCCGCTCTATCCCTAATTATAAAAAGAGGGGAACTGTAACAAAAAACTCTGCATCTTTTATAGCAGTGATGGCGAACCTTTTAGAGATCGAGTGCCCAAACTGCAACCCAAAACCCACTTATGCATCGTCGGGTGCCGGGTGGGTGTGGCCCATTGGCTGGGTGTGGCCCATTGGGTGGGCGTGGCTGCGGTGGTAACGGCAGACTGGGTGGGACTAAAAAGTTCAATCAATCAATTCCAACTTTGCAAGATCTTTTTTTTCCCTCAAGAAGTTAAAATTGATTGATTGATTGAACCTTTTTTTTTGTACACGGTGGCGGAGGCCTAAAGCGAAAAGGTTTTATAAAACCCAGCTGAAGGCCTAGGACTGGGGCGATGTCGCGCGTGCCCACAGAGAGGGCTGTGAGTGCTGCCTCTGGCACCCGTGCCATAGGTTTGCCACCACTGTTTTATAGCAACAGAAAACTCATTTTCAAAGTGTCTACTTTTACGATGCCAAAGCAACATTGCTCAGATACAGGATTAACCAGTCAGACGGAGATAAAACTCGAAAGATTTGCAGAAAACCAAAAAAAGAAAAGAAAGGAAAAGAGAAAAACATTTCTAGAGGAGGGAAGGAGAAGGAGCTCAAGGAGAACTTTAAAAAGCGATTGAGCTTCACAGGATGACTCACATCAGAGCAGAAGGCAGATAAGAAGAATACGGCCAAGAAGTTCCTTGCGTAAGATCAGCATGCCAAATTTAATACGGGATTGGCCTAGGGGAATTTTTAGTGGGGTTTTAAGAGAAATTTTAATTATATTGGCCATAGTAAATATTTCTTTTTAATTAGGTTTTAAATTGGGTATTTATTGTTGTATCTGTTTTATAAGGCTGTCAGCCGCCCTGAGTCCGTAAGGAGAAGGGCGGGATAAAAATTGAATAAATAAAATAAATAAATAAATAAATTGAATAAATAATAATAATACTCCAAAGAGTAGAAAGTGCATTTATACCATGGGGTTAACATGACACAGCTTTGAAGTGTGAAATAGTTGGAACTCAATTATTGACACAAAGGAAACAAATGTGTTGTCTTTCCCTTGGGTGCCTGAGAAGGACACTGACTCAATTAAAAAAACTCGTCATTCCTCTCAATGCCTTCCTATCAACTGGGCAGGATCTTTGGGAACAGAAGCTGATTACTAAATGCTATTTTGCAAATTTCTAATTGGGCCAGCCAAGCATGAGACAAGTCTCTTTCTTCCAATACCCAGAATAGACACTCCTGTATATGTCTGATTACTGAGCAATATAGCAAACACCTGAAAAGGAGAACAGGCAACCCTCAGAATTCACCTTTTAGGCGCCCAGAAGCAGCTTTCCAGTACAGCATCCCATCCAGTAGGAGGCGCCGCTGAAGCATATCCTCCTTCCGGAAGATAAGGCCATTCTTAAACTTCCCAGAAGACTTGAGTTCCATCCTGGTTACAATTTCCCGGAGGCGCTGTTGTTTCTCAGACTCATTCACCTTGGTGTCAACAGCTGTGATGGCCTCCTTGATAAGCGACAATGCCTTGGTCAGGTCTTCATACTCTTTTGTGGTGACTGCAAAGATGAAGTGATGCAGCATGTTTAGGAAAGCTACAGTGCGTATTAACTCTTTGCCATCTGGGTGGGTCCCTATAGCAAAAAATGGCACCGGCGTTTTGTAGCATTCTAAGCATTGCCAAGTTGATTGCAGGAGAAAACATTTAGAGACCAAAAGTAAAATGCATCGAACAAAATCATTATGAATCTGCTAATTATGACCTTTCACTGATCCTTTTAAGTGACTAACAACGTGGTCCTCACGACTGTAACTGAGCCTGGAATTGCAGTCAAAAGTCACAGCAGCTCTTAATTGGGTGACCATCAGATTTTATGACCTTTTATGGTGGTCGCTAAGTGAACACCAGAGTTGTTAAGCGAACCTATTGCACCCAGTGGGAAATTTTTTGCTGGAAACCAGAAATAAACACTGGTTTCCAGCAAAAAAAAAAAAAAAAGAAGTCATAAATCACCGTCACATGACCACAGGAATGCTATAAATGGCCATAAATGCAGGCTGGCTGCCAAGTATCCAAAATGCAATGGGGCAGCAGCTATCAGAACTTTGAAACCAGGTCATACATAGCTCTGGAGAGGTCTGTCAAATATGGACAGAACCATGTAGTTTTCTTGGTAGCAATACTAAAGTGCTTTCCCATTATTTTTTTTCTGATTCAATTAAGAGTTGTTGAGAATCAGCCTATATACAAGTTAGCCAACTTGTTTATTTATTACTAGGTTTGGACCTGCTTAAGGGTTTGTTTGTTTGTTTGTTTTATACTTTAGCCACCCAGAAGATGTTGTTGTTTGATGCCACCAAACGGGGGGGGGGGGGGAATGTTTCACCTAATAAATGGATGTGTAACCTGGCCAATGGGAAGGGTCTAGGTGAGTTATAGTCTTAAAGCATTTGGGAAGGAATATTATCCAGGGTCCAGGAATCAAAAAATACTGAAAAGTCAGATTCTGCATCTATACACCAGTTTTGCCCTGTTCCCTATGTTGCTTGGGGTGGATTGTGCTTCCTTAATGAGCTCTTCTGATAAAGGATGGAAGAAGTCAAAAGTGGTTAAAATAAGTGCCTCTAATAAGTCAGGTTTTTCACCTTCTGTGTTCTGAATGATGCGCTCCACCAAGACAGGATACTTCATGATGCGCTGGGTAACTAAAAGATTGCACTCTTGGACACCAAGCCGTCTCACAATGGAAGAATTGCTGATTTTCTGAAATATATCACATGCACCAAATATACTTACTAACAAGCTGAAATTGATACATCTTTCATTTCATCAAAAGGTGGAAGAAATGAAGGGAAACGACCTGTTCGCTCCTTATTCTTCTTTGATATGTAAAAAATATGCATTCAGATTTTAATTTGTCTCAAATTTGTCCCTTTTCTGTAATCAATTTTTTTTTTCAGTTACCACAATCTGGAAAAATCATTCTATCTCATCAGTAAATGAGTTTGCTGAGTTTTCTGTGCAAGTAATTACAAAGCTGCATTATAATTCTTTCTCTTTGTTTCACTTTCTGTCTTCTTGGTTCCCAGAGAAAGTCTTGCTACATCACATTTCAAAAATCTTTCTAATCTAGCACCCTTACTTAGTGTATATGGCAATAAGCTTAGTAAATCACTGAGGAAATAAGCACAGGAGTCCACTCTTTCCTGAACTACACATTTGTTGAAATAGGTACGGTAACAGTAGAGTACCCTTAGCAAAGGCTGATCCCCAATGTTGCACCCACATACTTCTCTAGGTTATAATACAGGTAGTCCTTGATTTACAACCACGGGACCAGAGTTTCCATTGCTAAGCAAGGTGGTTGTTAAGCGAGTCACCCCAATTTTATAACCCTTTTTTTGCTACAGTTGTTAAGCAAATCACTGCAGATGTTAAGTAAATCATATGGTCATTAAGCAAATCTGGTTTTCTCACTGATTTTGCTTCTTGAAAACAGGCTAGGAAGGTGACCATGTGATCCCAGCCCCTCAACCATTGTAACAACACGCCAATTGCCACCCAGCCGGATTTTGATCATGTGACCGTAGGGACGCTGCAACTGTCATAAGTGCAGGGACTGTTTGCAAGTCACTTCTTTTTCAGCACTATTATAACTTTGAATAGTTGCTAAATGAATGGTTGTTAAGTCAAGGACTACCTGTACAGAAGGGGTTTATGATGATCTTATGCTAGACTGGCTTTTAAAAAACTTTCCATCTGAACATTTTTGCCTCAAAAAATACCAACAGCACATGGTATTGGGTCTTTCTCTATAGAGGAAGAAACAACGAACTGTCTGAAGGCCCCTTTTCCTCTGTGCATTGTGTGTAACATTTTTGAAAACTACCAAAATTACTAAGAGCAGAGTTAGTAAGTGTTGTGCTACTGCTATATCAGATTTCAGCAGCACCAAAAAGAAGCCCAGCGTGACAGAATGAGATCAGTTCCCATCTGTGATCATCTCTCGTCTTTTACCTTAATCAAGTTTTGGAACTTCTTGCTTTGCTGCATCAGCTCTTTATAGTAGCCCACAGCATCACTGTGACTACTACAGTAAATGCCATATTTCGTCTTCAAATTATCTCCTTTTTTTCCTGAAAACTAAATAAGGAAAGCACAGTCAGGCGCAACTAACATTTGGGAGAAAAGCAAGCTGTACCCAGCACACTCTGGTGTATCAGGAGAACAGATGACATAGTTCAGCATTATTATGTATATCATGGCATTCAACTATAAAGGGGGGGAGTGAGAATGGGGTATTGAGAATTGAATAATTTCTAAACTAGTGCATGAGACTGTCCTGAGAGAGAAAATGCAAGTGAACAGAACAATAAAACAGCCATTCCTCACTAAGGGGAGATTATATTTTAGGAGACACAGAGAGAGTGCATCTAACTCAGTATTACCTCCGCTGACAAGAATCAAAGATAGAAAATAGCCTTTTCCTAGACTTGCCACTTGGAATACATTTAAATGCAGTTCACATGCAAAGCTAGTGGCTCTAATACACACCAAGAGTTGCGGTGTTTTTCCTCAGAAAAATCATGAGAGCCCACTGGCCTATTTTCTGGGTGAAAGCCTGCTGGAAAAGGCAAAATTTCCCCTTTGAAGTAAATAAGTGTTTTACATCTTAGGATGACCCCGTCTATCCAACCCCACTCCATAAGCAAAATCTACACCTAAGCACTCACCTGCTCCACCAGGAGATCCCCAATGTTCTGGATGATATAGTTGCATTCGCTACCTTCTTCCAAAGAATTCTTCCGACGTTCCTTTAGCTGGAAGAGGAAGGCTCTGTGGAGCTCCAGTAATTCATCCACGCACGGGAAAAGGTGATGGATATCAGAATTGCTGAACTGCAGCTCCTCTCGCATGGCTTGGGAATAGACCTTCAACATAATCTTCAGAGTCCGGACATGGTGCATCTCTGTCCTCATCAACTCTGCGCGGAGAAGACATTAACATCAAGCCTGGCCAGAGACTGACACACCTAGAAAGCCATCTACTCAATACAGATTTCTTTACCAGAAATCTGTTAAAGAGCACACCAAATCTACAATCAATAGCCTATATCCAATTTCAAGACAAGCACTACCTTTAAGCCAAACTTTTGCATACATGTGAATGAAAAGAGCAGGAGCAGAGCAAATACTGTCAATGAAGTCTGATGGAGAAGAGGCAGAAAAACTTACCATATATGACATCCTGCCTTTTAATAACATCCCGCTCCTGCTGCTTCACGAATGACTGGTCTACTGCCAGACTCCAAGACTGAGCAGCAAACTCCCGAGCATCTGTCTCCAATTCAATCCTCAAGGAGGCAAACTGAACATCTGGAAGGGGAAGAGTCACAGCTCAGATGAGAATGTATGCATATGTATTCAGAGAAGCATTCAAAATGCCATTATCAGGAGAAACAAAAATAGCTCAATGTTGTTATCACCAGAGTAGAAATCTAAAGGACTGCATAATAATTCTTAACTTGTGAAGGTCAAATGCTAAAAAACGTTTTATAAAATGTATACTACGCTATGCAATGTCCAGGACATATTATGGATAAATGATCATTATAGCTCTCATAGATGTAGATAGTGAGAGGTGAAGAGAAGATGCAGCAAAAAAACCCCAAAAGGAACCCTTTGAGGTCAGAGAAACCAACTTACAACTGAAATCACCCTAACTACTAACTACTAAAAAAAACCTTCCCACAGAGCAAAATGCACATTTGAATTTAACATCACATATTGTAGGGAGGGCAACCACAAATGTACACTGGAACCCTATCAAAGGGAAGAGAAAGAGAACTCAAACTCAAAGACTAGGGATTTGTTATAGTTCAATTAGAGCATCTGACTTCAGAAATGGTCTACCTGCAAGATTCCAGCAGGTCCCTGCATATGTGCTCTTGTTTGGGGCCTGCTATTCTGCTGGGGGGGGGGGAGGAGAATTGGCTTTTGCTTGGGATAACTTTCGCTTTCTGCTTTTCTTCTCCCGCCCCTATCCACTCGAGAAGATATTGTGCTCCCTTATCAGGTAGACAGCTAGGGAGAAATGAAACTGGAGAAGACCTTGAGATGCACGCTGTGCCAGTTACCGAAACATCGTACCACCTGTGGGTTGGCTGGATTTCAAATGGACACTATGACTTTGGTGGGAAGATGAAGATTGCTAGTTTAACTATATCATTTAAGCGGGATTTACCCCAGATCTCGCCTTGACTTCCCTACTCTCACTAAGCCCTAATAAAAGTTCCTTTTGAGACAATGCCTGTTTCAAGAATTCTGCTTTCTTGGGTAGTTAGCTGAGGTGGGTCCTTACAGTTGCTCTGCTGTCTTCAAGTTGCTTTTTGGGTGTTTTGCCAAGGCATCTGTGTGGCCACCACAGTAAACAAAATGTTGAGTTAGATAGACATCTAACTGTTGATATGGTTCAACACATTAAGAACTCTTGGACAAGAAAGAAAATGAAGGAATGGCATAGGCTAGGGGTAGGCAACCTTGGCTTTTTTATGACTCGTGGACTTCAACTCCCAGAATTCCTCAGCCAGCACGGCTGGCTCAGGAATTCTGGGAGTTGAAGTCCACGAGTCATAAAAGAGCCAAGGTTGCCTACCCCTGGGATAGACTATCCCCAATAGTGTTTTCCTCTGCTTCTCTTGCATTTCCTGTGGTTCCAGTAACCACAGCAATGGACCCAAGGACATGACCCTGGCAAAATGGATTCAAATTCTAGCTTGGCTTGTTTTGCAGATCTTCTTGCAGTTTCGATTCCCTGCTACAGGTGTGGAGAATGAAGGGTTCTAACCTAGAAACAGGCCATTCCAAATGTTCCAGAAGTATTCTGGATAAGAGCTGTGGTGGCACAGTGGTTAGAAGGCAGTGTTGCAGGCTAACTCACTGCTCACTCCATAAGTTCAAGTCTCACCGGCTCAAGGTTGACTCAGCCTTCCATCCTTCCGAGGTTGATAAAATGAGGGCCCAGATTGTTGGGGGCAATGTGCTGACTCCGTAAAACACTTAGAGAGGGCAGTGAAGCACTATGAAGCGGCATATAAGTCTAAGTGCTAATGCTATTGCTATTCTAACTTTGAAATGGGCCTATTCTGAAATCAGGTGACTTCTGGAAGAACCAGAGCAGCCCAATCTGTTGCACAAACCTGTTCCTTGATCATTTGAGGAGTAAACTGCTCTGAGAGATGAGCCTTAGAACAGCTCAACCCAAACAAGATGGCTGAGGGGGTCCTGCCATCTTCCCTCTCCCACAACAGTCAGTGGAAACACTGCTGATATTTGAGCCAAATAAGCACTCTTTTGCCAACAAAGCTGTATATGCCAGGATATGCATTTCCTGTGTTTTTGCTATTCTCTTTCTCCCTCTATTTCCCAGCTCCATGTTCTTAAATTAATAAACAGGACCATTCCATTGCAAAAGAAATACCTTTCCAAATTTTCAAAGCATCTCCTTCTCTGAAGAATCTAAACGGGTTTATCTTAATCATTAGGCGTGCCTAATGATGCCTCTCAGCAGGGAAGCTCCTTGTTGTTGTTTTTGTTGTTGTTTTAACCATTTAGTCGTGTCCGACTCTTGGCGACAGCCTAGGCAAGTGCTCTCCATGCTACCCTGTCAAGCACAGCTTCTTTCAAATGCTCGATGTTCAACTTTGTATCAGATTTCATGCTATCAAGCCAGTGTGTTCTTTGCTTGCCCCTTTTTTCTGTTTCCACTAACGACTCCTAGCATCATTGTCTTCTCCAATGAATTTGCACGCATAACATGGCCAAAGTAAGTCAGATGTAGTCTTATGATTTTAGCTTCTAATGATGCACCTGGTTTTATACAATTTTAACACGAGAAGCTCCTTACCTTCCACAAAAACTGATTCTGCGGTTGATGGTGCCAGTGAGACAACATCTTCAGAGGCTGGTTTAAGTTTCATGAAGCCAGAATCCCCTTCATCCATCTCTCCCCCAGTGAGTCTGAATAGTCAAAGGAAAACATTGAACCAGATCAGCTCTTGCCCCAGGACTGAGTCACTGCACAAGCTATTTTCTTATTAGGATGTTTCTTATTCTGACGAATGCCGCCTGGGCCAAATGCCTTCCAGTGAACAACTTAAGAAGAGCAGCAGTCCTGATGTACACTTGTGTTCGGTTTGGAAAGGCATCCTGAGATTGTTGAGGAGGAATAGGGATACTGCCAATGTAGAGTGCTGCAGCAGCATGAGAAAATAGTGACAGCACTCAAAAAGTAAAAAAATCCATGGAAGGGCTATACTTAGGAAGCTGCCAATAAATGTCTGATAAACACAGAAGAGGAGAAAAGGGGCAGCAAAGCCATGGGTCATCTTCTACTGCTGATGGCTAAAATAGTTCCCTTCCTCATGCAGTAAACCTTACGCAGTTGAAGCTCTCCACATTTATGGTGTTAAAAACCCACAGCATACAAGGATTTATAAAATGACCATGTAGAATGTCTATGGGAAAATGAATCCATTCAAAGTTCGCATAACAAAGGTGAGATGTGTTTACACTAAGAACTGGTTTTATGGATACTGTTTGCCGATAAATTGAGAATTCTCTATTGATTCCCAACTCAACAGGTTGGTATTCTGACCTAGTGGCTATGCCTATAAAGTTGATTACTTGATAATCCCAGTTCTTCTACTGAACACCCCCCCCCCAATGACTGGGAGCCATTATTATTTCCTGACTTGGTTAGAACAAAACTCTGTATACCCAATCTGAAACTGAACAGACAAAATTCATATGTACACTTGGCAGAAATGTAAAAACAAAAACCCAACAAAAACCCATGTATAACTGCCCCCATGGATGCGCACTCATGCATGGATTTGCATAGGTGTTGCAAAATTACAACATGAAATTATGCTACGCTGTAAGCTAATACTCCCCCACTCCATAAACCCAGAGTTTCCATTAAAATCATGGCAAACACACCAAGCCTGAGTTTGAGTTTGAACAGAAAAATAGTTGAGAGTCCAGCAGGGAGACCTAAGCTTTGTTTTCTCCAAAAGAAAAATAGAAAGTGGAGCACTGTTAAAGAGGAGCAGTTACTTCTTCCCAGGCAGGATAAGCCCGGATTCCAGATAAAAGTTCCATAAACAGCCATTTGTATCCAGCAAAGTGCCTACTCACCCGAGCTTACCAACAGCCCCAGCAGAGGTGGTGCTTAGCTGAGATGGCAAACTTCCCCTCTGCACAATTGTCATGCCGAGGTTCTGGGGCAAGCCAGGGGTTCTGCCATCCGGGCCCAAGAGGGCCCTGCAGGAGTGCTCTTTGAGCGAGGTAGCTATAGAAGGAAAGACAGAGTTGGTACTCAGGAATCGGGGAGTAAATTGTAGGTTGCTTCTTTGCAACCCTCGGCTCTCTGAGCGAGTTTGGAGAACTGACAAAATCCTGGAGGTCAGACGCTCATTTTCCAGAAAGACCGTCTCATTCCACTTGTTGGAAAATGACCCACAGAACAGCAGCTCTGAGTGAGCCGGGATGACCGATTCGCTGCTGTCACTGCCCTTGGAGTTAGCGTTTCCCATGTTTGCAAAGTGGCTGCCCACAGCAGAATTGCTTGTGCGTGTTCCACCTTTATATCCCCCGTGTGATCCTTCTAGAAATGTCTAGAGATGTAAAAGCTGTCACTCAAACTGCTGCATTGGTTAATCATCCGCAGGTCAGAAAGAGAGAAAATTGGTCCCTACTGTGTCCTCAATCGAATGTGGAAATTGCAAAGTATCTTTTTTAGCAAACAGAGTAGAAAGCGCACCAATCAAAACTTTACATAAACATCACTGTTCTCACTTTTCAACAGAAGAGAGAAAATGACTTGCCCTGAAGCAAGAATTATCTGAGAAAGAAAAAGTGGCAGAAAGACGCTCACAGTTGTTGCTTCTCACCTACATGCTTGCTGGTTCAAGTGCCACAATTTATAACACTATGCACATGACGTCCCAAACTAACATATTCATCAGATCTAATGACCAAGGCATACATTCTCCAAGCAGATTCCTTTTAGAGAATATTTTTTAAAAAAGCAATGTAAAGATTATTCATTAGTATCATAATTTGTCTGAGTCAATTATATGAGTCAATTCTTAACATTTAATATTCCCATTACTTTACATTCAGAAAGAGTGCTGTCACCCTCTTAGCCATTTGGCCTTCCACAGAAACAGGTGCTTCATGCCATTTGTCCGAAATGGAATAGGGTTTCCTGCTGAGCAGGGGGTTGGGCTAGATGACCTCCAAGGTCCCTTCCAACTTTATCATTATTAAGATGTTTCTGCTGTTGTTGTTGCAAAACCAAGACAAAAGCAGAGAGGCTAAAAGAGGGGGAGAGGTCCATTGGGTTCCAGGAATTATCTGGGTGGCAAGGAAATATCCTCATCTTACTATCCTCCCATCTCCCCTCACTGATGCCAACATGCCTTGAAGACCTACAAGGTAACTCACCAAAATGTCAACAGAAATATTCCAAGGCAAGTTTTGGCAGGAATAATCAAGTTGATGCCTTTCTCCTGCCTGCTCTGCAAAACCAGTTGTTGGAACACATTTATACCCTACTTTTGTATCCCCCCAAAATAGACAAGGGAACAAAAAACAAAACACAACTAGCAGCCCCAACGGTGCTTTCTTTCAAAAGGCAACTGGGTTTTCTTGCTTTGCTAGAAGACGTTTCGCTTCCCATCCAAGAAGCTTCTCCAGTTCTGACTGAATGGTGGAGGATGGAAGGATTTATATTCCTTGCAGTCATGAAGTCAAGTCCTGCGGTGAAGAAGAATATAAATCCTTCCATGCTCCATCATCCAGTCAGAGCTGAAGAAGCTTCTTGGATGAGAAGTAAAATGTCTTCTAGCAAAACAAAACAAAAGTCCAGTTGCCTTTTGAAAGAAAGCACCTTTGGAATAACCATGACCTGGATGACTGAGGATCTCCATAGACAGCACAACTAGCAACTAACACTAAAATTATGTCTCCTAACATATATCTATCAGAATAGTAAAAACAGGACGGGGGGGATTGTGTGTATATTTATATTTGATGATTTTAATGTTTTCTTACACTGTAAGCTGAAACAAGATGGGCAGCAAATAAACAAACAAGCAAGCAAGCAACCAGGTACACACCCACTGTAGGAAGTTTTATCACTCTCTCATCTGCCTTCCTTTCTCCAAATTCTTCTCTCTTTTAATCCCTTGGCCATTTTTCTCTTAGGTAGACTAAACCAGACTAAACTAGTAGTTTCCAAACTATTAGGGGGAAAGATTATAGAGGATGAAGAATTTGAAGGATATATCAGAAGAATTTCCAGAGAAGATGAAATACACCTAGAATTCTCCCAGAAAGTGTCCCAGAAGGTATACTATAAAAGATATGGAACCATATCATTTATTCTTTTTGTTCTTCTGGCATCTCTTTGTGGGAGGAATGTTAACAGCACAAATCTCAAAAGACCTTTGATTGCCTCTTTGCATCTTGCACAGCCCAAGACGTCAGATCCAGGTAATACAGCTTTGATATATGGGGCTAGCTAAGCATGTGGGGCTGGGGAAAATGGAACACATGCAGTTCAGATGCTTTATGAGAAGCCAAATTCAGTCTCTGCCTATATTGTTTAGGCCCGTGTTTCTCAACCTTGACAATTTTAAGGCATGTGGACTTCAACTCCCAGAATTCCACAGCCAGCATTGCTGGCTGTGGAATTCTGGGAGTTGAAGTCCACATGCCTTAAAATTGTCAAGGTTGAGAAATACTGGTTTAGGCAGACCATCATTCTTGGCTCCAAGTAAAGCTATTAAGAGAGGCCGAAATCATCTGTACACGAATGCCCACAAACCCTCACTCTTGGAACCTATCCTTCATTCCCAACTTTCCTCATCTTAAAAGTACAGTACCCCCTTCTGGCTCATTGGACTGAACGGGGAGCTCCTTTGCAGACCAAATGTATGTCTCGGAGACAGAATCACAACAAACATGCCACTTCCAATCTAAATAATTCCCAAAAGGCACGCTGCTTTACTTCAGGTCTTCCAAGGAGCAGAGACATTTTCCCCTTTCTCCAGTTCCCCAGCCCTTCTCCTCTCTCCTCTCACCCTTTGAATGCCCTGGAAATGGGCTCATGAATAGGAGAAGCTGTACTCTGCTTTCAATTAGCACAATCTGCACACTGCTGAGGACTACTATTGATCACTGCTCCCCTCTTCCCACACAATAGATCACTGTGATGTTCAACCACAAGGCTGAAGGAAATGTCCCCTCCCCCACCCTTGCTTCTCTTTTTAAACTTCCCAAACTCAACAAGACTGAGACTGGGGGCTGTAAACGATCAGCCGCTTCCTTTTGCCTCAGCAGAAGAAACATATGAAGGATCAAAGATATCCAACCCCAAAAACTGTATCTTTACCTGTAAAATAAAGAAGCTTCTTCTGGTAGCAGACACAACCCTCAATCATCCCCCCTCAAGAACATTATTTCTCAAGAAGCCCATTTTTAATCTGCACAAGTATGGCAACCCCCCCCCCCCCCCGTTTACGACAAATCTACTTGCCAAAAGCTCTCAGGTTGGACACCAACCTTCTCGGGTCAGACTATACACCCTCAAGATTGCATAATATTAGGTCATGCCTTAACGGGTTCACCTAGGACAGCAGCTCAGATGAGTTAGTTTGTACCCTTAATTTAAAATATAAAGTATTATTAGTCCAAAATGAAAGGCACCACCATGCTAATAGTTATGCAGGGAAGGAAGACCACAGGAGATTCCAGGTAGAAAACCAGGGAAAAGAAATGTCAAAATCATCAGAGAGGAGGAAAAGAAAGGAAGGCATTTCTACATTATTATTCATTATTTAAAGTGCTACACCAAAAATAGTTAGAAAATACATATACATAGAAATAATAACAGTATGCACTATAGGATAACTAGAAGGTATCTAGAGTGCTTTATCTAAAATATTTAAAATACGATAATGATACAGAAAACATTATTAGCAATGCTTCCAGAGACTGTAGAATATCTAAGTGCAATAAACTGCAACCCTCCATGACTTCATACAGGAAGGATGCACAGAACTATCTACTCCCAGAATGGTCTCCTACTCAATACATAGAGATGTAGCAATCATTGTCTATGAGACAAAGTGCTGCCCTGTGGGTAGCTGGGTAGAAATCCCTGTATATTACATTGGGCCTTAAGGAGAGGGATTGCTGCTGGTGTACTATTCACGCCACTGTTCAGCAACGGACCTTCCCTCAGCTCCTAGATATCATTGAAGATCTGCTCACAATAGAGACCCCCAAACTTTTCGAGCTGGGAGTTTTTAACATCCATGCCCTGAGGGACATCCTGATAGCTCAGAGGTTTTACAGCCTCCACGGCCCTATCCCTGTCTTGTAGATATTAGCCCCTACAAATACAAACTGTCACATGATAATCTGGTATTTGCCTTGGAGGAGATGTGATGGAATTGGGTAATGGAAAAAATGATCACCAGCCCTTTGCTGTGGTCAGAGCACATTTTGGTTTGTATGCATGTTGTCAGCAGGGTCAACCTCTGCAAGGATGATGGACTAATTAAGCACCTCTATCACAGAGGCTGGATGGATCCCTGGGGATTTCCTAGGGCATGTGGAGAGTTCCCAATGATCTTGTGGTTGCTCCATTATGCATCTCACTGACAGCTGGAACTTAGATGCAGGAAGAGCACCAGATATCACTGCTTCCATGCAGTCTCCTTTTCTCTGTAGATACCGTGTTTCTCCGAAAATAAGACCAGGTCTTTTTTTTTCTCCTCCAAAAGAGGCACCAGGTCTTATTTTGGGGGGATGTCTTACTCACCTCCGGCACCGACAGCCCCGCCCAGCCGATCCACTTCTTCTGCAGCTGAAGGAGCAGCTTCATTCTGCCGCTGCATTCTGGCCTGCATTTTGCAGTCAGACCTTTCCGGAAAGCCTCTGCAGCCGAGAACCGAGCTATGGAATCCATAGCTCGGTTCTCGGCTGCAGTGGCCTTCTGGAAAGGCCTGTGACTGAGAAATGCAGGCCTGGCTGCAGGAGACGCCGCAGAAGAAGTGGGCCGGTGAGGAGAGGCCTGGTTGCAAGGTAAGTGGGTGCAGGACGTGAGGGGCAGCTCCACTCCCCCCACCCCAGCACTAGCTTGCTTTTTAGGTGTGTGCCTCAACCCAAAACTAGGGCTTATTTTTGGGGTAGGGCTTATATTAGGCCCACCCCCAACAATCAAGCTGGGGCTTATGTTTGGGGTAGGCCTTACTTTCGAGGAAACACGGTATCTCGCGGCTTCTTGTTTTTCCAAGGAGCTTCAGAAAAATGAGTTAAATAAAGAGATGCCTAGATCATCAAAAATGAGAAGTAAATGTAACCATGCACAACTACCGGTACATAATCATGTTTAGGACTACACCAGAATGCTAAAAGCAATGAAGCCTGGTTACTTCTCCTATCTACAGACTCTTATCCAGCAATCTATTAAAGCAGGTGTCCTCAAACTACAGCCCACGGGCCGCATGTGGCCCGCCTTGTCTTTTTATCTGGCCCGCCTCAACCTCCCGGGCAAGCTGTTCAATTGCGAGGAGAGAGTGGGTGGATGGCGGCGAGAGTCCCAGCCAATGGCGGAACAGCGAGTTTGTGGGAGATGTTTCTTCCCCAGTTTCTCCCTCGTGCACCCAAGTGCGCACTCGCGCTTCGGCCACGCCCCTTTCCTCTCCTCCTCACGGCTCTTCGCGATTTTACCTCAGGGCTGGGCTGAGAGGTTTAGGCCTTGCTTGCAGCCTCGGCCTCTCTTAGGGCAGTCAAGCCAGGTGATGATGCCACTGCTGCTGCTTCTTCTGAAGCGGGTTCCTCGCTAGGCGTTAACGGAATGTGAGCCCCAGCCTCCGCCACTGTTGCTGCCACCGCCATGCCGGCCAAGAGGAAACTGGTGCCACCGGCCCTCAACATCACCCCCACCATTGCTGAGGGACCCAGCCCCACTGGCGGTGGTGAGGGCGATGGCTCCGAGTTGGCTTGACCCCCGTGAGGGTCGGAGTGAGGCTGCTGGAGTGGGGCGCCGGTTATAGGTCTGAGGGGAGCAGGCGAAGGGTGAGGTATTTGTGAGGGGTGGCCGGGGTGAGCGAGAAAAAAGGAGTTGCGAGGGGTTGTGAGGAGCTAAGGCAATGAAAGGTCAGGGAAGCCGCTGGGAGAGAGGATTATTAAAGGTTATCTTTTGCACAATTTTACAAGAGTAAAATTGCTCCTGACACGTTTGTAAGTCCTTTTTCCTTTCCTTTCCTTTCCTTTCCTTTCCTCAGAGCTGATCTCCTGATTGCTCAGAGAGGATTCTTTCAAATTTGTGGAAATCGAGGGAATAGACAGAGCCCTTAATAAGTTTTGCCATCTGCAACGTAAGCTCATATCCTGCCATCTAATATCAGTCACTGCACTAGTTACCACCTTATTTCCTGGGTCTAGTTCAAAGTATTTGTCATCACCCTGAAATCCCTGTCTGGCCTGATTCCCAAAGACCTACAGGGCCAGCCCTCTCATCAAGATCCAGACTACTTACATTTTTCTAAGGAGGAATGACTGAGGATCCCTTTCCTAAATGAAGCAAGAGAAGTGGGCCCAACAATATATTTCTATGGAACTGTCCCCAGGCTCAGGATAATCTTGCTTCCCACAATAAGGAATACCTCAGATTTCCTTGCCTTTCATGGCTCATTTAAAAACTGTTCTACTTAACAATTAGTGGTATGAAGGCTGCTTTTTAGATAGAAAATTGCAGTCTGTTCTTGTTTTTAACCATATGTATCTTTTGATTCTGTAAATCGAATCAATATATTCAATCATTAAGTTGTATGAAAATGGGTAATATATATAACTATGCAATAAACAAAATCAGAAATTCCTTAAATAGATAATAATTCTTATTACTATTTATTATTATATAAATATTATTAAATAGTAATTATTTATAAATATATTTATGTATGTATACATCTACATATATATTATAAACAATAAATATAAATGAGTAATATCAGATTTAATAAATTACATTATCAAAGAAGAAAAGCATGCATTGGCTGATAAAGTAAAACAGTCAAGAACTTTAGAATTTTAACTAATGCAAGCTAAAAATTGGAACTTACTAAATGTACAGGAAACAAAACACGAAAGTCGAAATAATGTTATAAAAACACAAACCGACTGCTGGCAAGGAAAAGCATTACATGGTCAATTATTACAAAAAAATCGAGGGGAAAATTAAATTTGGGGTGTTTCAAGAGTAGATCATACAAGCTTCCGCAAGAAAATTGCACAGACTATATAATCAATGATATAACCCAGTCACCAAACCGATTCACTGGAACTTCTATAAAAATTACCATTTGCCAGTAATGAAAAAATGTTAGGAACATATAGTTCAAAAAGGAGTCAAAAATGAACAGGTTAAAATACTGTGGTATTTCCAAATACAAACTAATAATCTTGGTGCATAACACACCAAATTTAACTGGTTTGAAAACAAGAAAATGTGGATAATTGATGTGGCAATACCAGGGGATAGTAGAATAGAAGATAAAGAATTGGAGGATCACACAGTATCAAGATCTGCAAATTGAAGTTGAAAGATTATGGCATAAACTGGCAGTGGTGATCCCAGTGATTATCAATACACTGGTTGCCACACCAAAAAATCTTGAATGGCACTTAGAAAATCTGCACATTGACAAAATTTCCATCTGTCCATAACAAGAGGCCATATTGCTTTGATCTGCACATATACCATGTTGATAGATTATGACATCCTAGGTTCTTGGGAAAAACTTGATGTAAATCAGGGGTGTCTTAACGTAGGCAACTTTAAGTTTAAGAGTTGTGGATTTCATCTCCCAGAATTCCCCAGCTAGCATGGGGAATTCTGGGAGTTCAATTCCACAAGTCTTAGAGTTGCCAAGGTTGGACACCCCTGGTGCAAATAAAGGCTACTACTAGTTATGGTTTATTAAATTTATATGCCACCCAACTCCCAGAGACTCTCTCTAAGGCTGCTCAGAGATGGCATTGCAGCAAAGACCAGTTTCAGCAGGATGCATATATTTTCATATATATTCTCATGTATAAAATTACTACAGAAGTAAAATCTAAGGCTAAGAAAATAATCTTCCCAATTTGTTCCACATCTTCAAGAGATGTTTCTTTGCTTTTCTCGTAGCTTCTTTTGCCAGTTTAATTTTGGAGAATATTTAAGATAATGGCCTAAATATATAATAAGCTCTGTCCACAGGCACAATTTAATAAAAGCTGACAATCCAGATATATTTTTCAATTTCACAGTTACAGAATAACCAATCAATGAAAAACCAGCTTATTGATTTTCTCACTGCTCTGCGGTGGTTGTTCCCTTCCTACTCTGCTTTTTAAAAAAAAGTTTCACAGCACAATAAAAAAAAAATAGCCTGGCTAAAGAACATTCTAGACTTTTCTCCAATCAGGACAGAGTAGCTGCTCCACTCTTTTTGACAGCATTCCACAAACCGTACCCTGCAATGCTTAAACTTTTAATAATGTATTTTTCAAAGTTGCAGTACCAAGCATTCCATATTCAAAATCAGAACACAAAAAAATATTTTATACAAACCTCGGCAGGCACTCTGGAGTAAACTAGGGGGGGAGCCTGGGGGCCGGAGTTGCAAATCCCTTTGCTATAACAGAAAGAGAAGAGACAGAAAGAATCAGATATACTTCAGCTCCATGTCAAAACTGGTTTAGTTTCCACTGAACAACAGCTCTGTTGTTCCATTCAAATAACAGCTTTGAATTCCCTCAGCCGTATTAGTAAAGACCTAACTGTACTCTTAAACAAGGAGCACTGAAGATTGAATGGGAGCTTCAAATATCCACAGGAACTCTGGGGTTTATATCTCAGATTCTGAATTACCCAATGGAAGCTTATTACTGTAAAGCAGGGGTGTCAAACTGCCAGCCCGCGGGCCGGACGTGTCATCGGGAAGCCACGCCCACCCCATTGCCGGCAATGGCGAAAAAGCTCCAATACGTTGCGTCGCGAGTTTGACATGCCTGCTGTAAAGAGTAAGGAAGATGACCTGGATGAAAATATGCAAGAACCATTACCTGGGGAAAAGGGACAGAAACATTTTAAAGTCCAGAGCAACATTTGGAAAAGGCCTGGTGTGATTTACTGGTGTGAGTGGACTTTGTTTAATTTCAGTGCCACTGTAACTTCAAGCAATCATTAAATTAATGGTTATAAGCCAAGGACTACCTATATTACAAAAGGCAGATGGCATTCCCCTTCCTCCAGCCAACGAAATGCTGAAGCCGCGTAATGTTTTCATGGCACACATAAAAACGTAGAGCTCCAGTGTGAAATCACTGTGTGGCTTCAGCAATTCACTGGCTCAAAGAAGGAGAACGCCTTTTGCTGTGTTTAATAATAGGCAGCCCATTCATAAATACACATTGTCTGTAAATCAGACCTTCTGGATCAATCTTGCAAAATTCTGTTATTACAGCCAATCTCAATAAATTAGTTTTTTTGTGGTTTTTTTGTGGAGTTGATTTCCTGATCTAGTCTACCTAGTAGGGATAACTAGGAATATCAGTCTTTAAGTAGGTGTTTGGTGTTTCTTTATTATATTTTTTTTTATTTTCAAATAAAGCACTACTTTTCTGGAAATTGTGTTCTTCACAGATCCATTTAAACTCTGTCAAATCCCTCTGGCGACTTGTACACCATGAGATCTTCTACTAAGTTCCAATAATTAAACAAATATGTACAATTATGAAGTTGCCACATTAATCTAATGCCCTAAACTAAAATGATCCAAGGCCTGGAGACTAAAACATATGAAGAACAGCTGCAGGACTTGGGTTTGGCTAGTCTAAAGAAAAGAAAAAGCAGGGGTGACATGATAGCAGTATTTCAGTATTTGAGGGGTGCCACAAAGAAGAGGGAGTCAAATTATTCTCCAAAGCACCAGACGGCAAGACAAGAAACAATGGTTGGAAACTGACCAAAGAGAGAAGCAATCTGGAATTAAGGAGAAACTTCCTGGCAGTGAGGACAATTAACCAGTGGAACAGCTTGCCTCCAGAAATCATGGGCACTCCATCACTGGAGGTTTTTAAGAAGAGACATTAGACAGTCACTTGTCTGAAATGGTATACTTCTCCTACTTGAGTAGGGGGCTGCACTAGAAGACCTTGAAGGTCCTTTCCAGCTCTATTCTATTCTAAACACTAGCCTGCCATAAACATTAGTTAGCAGAGTCAATGTTCAGGGAAAGAATTACCTGGAAGGACATGTTCCTCAATCCTACTTCAAGGTTTAAATGGCTGTTTAGACTAGAGCAACATATTAACGAACAATTAACCCTCTCACTCTTCCCAGTTTTAACTAAATGGAAAATGAATATTCCCCAGTACAGGTAGTCCTTGACTTATGACCACAATTGAGTCCAAACTTTTTGTTGCTAGGAAAGGCAGTTGTTGAGTTTCACTCCATTTTATGTTTTTTTACCATAAGCAAATCACTACGGTTGTTAAGTGAAATATGTGATCGTTAAATCTGGTTTCCCCCATTGATTTTGCTTGTCAGAAGTCAGTGAGGAAGGTGATCATATAACCCCAGGACAGTGCAACCATCATAAATACATGCCAGTTGCTAAGTGCCAGAATTTTAATAATGTGACCAAGGGGATGCTGCAATGGTCGTAATTGTGAAAAATGGTCATAAGTCACTTTTTTTCAGTACCACTGCAACTTCGAACAGTCACTAAGCAAATAGTTGTAAGTCAAGGACTACTGGTACAGGGTAAGTTTTAAAATATTTAAACAAATATTCTTGTTTCATTTTGTGCATCAATAAGTCAACCAATAATATTCTCCATTTTTTTCCATCAGGGACACTAGCAGTACTGTACATCTTTGAGAAAGAACACTAATAATTTGGTAGCAAGTGATAGAAAAGGAACCTCTCTCCCTGAGTAACTTAAAAGATGCTTGTAGTTATCTACCAATACTGAGCAAGATAAACTATTAGCCTATTTTAAACCTGTTAATTAGAGCTTCTTTTAGAAAGATTCAGGAAGTAGTTAACTCATTTTCACGAATTCTGCCTCCACCCACTGCTATTAATGGACTATAATTGTTTATCTTTACCTAAAATAAATTGATTGATTCATTTCTTCAAGTCATTGACTACTGTTCACAAACATTCAACTGCAACAACTATAGCATAGATAATGCCGTATTCTAACTTTAAAAATAAACAATTATGTCTTTTCACATAAATTGGAATAATCAACAGCTTGCCTTCGGAGGTTGTGTGTCCTCCATCACTGGAGATTTTAAAGAAGAGATTGGACAACACTTGTCTAAAATGATATAGGGGCTCCTGATGAGCAGGGAGTTGGACTAGAAGATCTCAAAGGTCCCTTCCAACTCTGTTATTCTGTTAATAACAGCTCTATCAGAACTATTTTATAAAAGAACAAAAATAGCAGCCTTCACATTATGAAACACTTTGATATAAATTATAGACCTAGGCAGCATGTTTAATTTTTACCTGTATTGTGAACCTGTATTTGAGCTATAAGAAATAAATATGCTACAGAAATAAATGAATGAATGAATGAATGAATGAATGTGTGTATGAGTAAGATTGCACAATCTACCTTGGATCTGCTGCTGCTGCATTCAGGCAAAAGATTCTTGCAGTTTTTGTGAACATTTACTGCACAATCTGACGAGGAAAGAAAAATAAAATTGAGGTCATTTTTTCATATATGCACATGGACACTTATATGTGGTTACCCTAAGGTTAGCAGTGTCTTTAAAAGACTACAGAACGACAGTCCTATAGAAACAACACCAATATGGCACATGCAAACCAATATGATGCTAAAGATTCCAAAGAATACCATGGACTGCACTTATGGATATTACAAATTAGATTAGATTAGATAACCTTTATTATCATTTTTTCCTGTGGGCACAACGGCACATATTAAAAATGAAATTTAGTTGCTTGCTCTCAAAGTGTACACATACATCACATTTAAAATATACAATATACAACATATGCATAGACCTACACCCTTACATATAAGTAACATATAACACATTTACATTGCAAATGTGTTGCAAATCCTCAGACATCTTTTCCTATAATCATTTTTTAGGATTGGGTAACCATGTGAAGATGGAGCTGCTTTAGAAGAATTGCACTTGTCACATGAACACCCTGTGTGCCCAAATGACCTTTATTCCTTTGCTCAGTCCTGTTAAAGAGTGCACCATCAAAGCTGACACCAACCAGAGCATAGACAAACTCAAAGACGTAGTGCAAGATCAGAAGAAGTGAAGAGACTTGGTCCATAGCATCGTCAAGAATCAGACATGACTGAATAACATCATCACTGTCATTAAAGAGTAACTAGTTAGGAAAGCTGATCTCCCTCCAACCAATTAGCCCAAACCCTCCTTCAACAACAAGGATACTACACTGTAAGGTGGTCAACAGATTCTTTTAACACACATTCTTATTTATCAAAGTATTCTTCTAAGCCAGTGATGGCGAACCTTTTAGAGACCGAGTGCCCAAAAAATGGCCCCGCCCCACTCCACCCCCTGCCCTGCCCCTACTCCACACCCACCCCACCTGCTGCTCTGCCTGCCCGCAGGGCCACTCAGGACCCGCTGCAGGGCCTCCAGGACCCGCCGCAGATCGCCCAGGCAGCCCAGCAGCGACATGGCGGCCACGTCCTCTGCCTGCGCCCCGCAGCATCAACTGTGCACGATGGGGCGTGAGGGCAGAGTCTTGTCCATGCTGCCTGGCTGCCATGTCCTTGGCTGTGCTGCTCTGCATGGGCCACGCTCGGGGGCGACTCTCCTCCAGGGGGGCTACTGGTGAGGAGGGGGTCACGGGGGGAGGCGAGGCTGGGGCAACGGCACGTGTGCCCACAGAGAGAGCTCCGAGTGCCGCCTCTGGCACGCGTGCCATAGGTTCGCCGCCACTGTTCTAAGCACATGAAACTGTCCTAGACTGAATTCAGACCATTGGTCCCTTCCAGCTTTAAATTTATTCTTACTAATTGTAGTTCCCCCCAAAAAACAAGACGCAATGGATGGAAACTAAACAAAGAGAGAAGCAACTAGAACTGAAGAGAAATTTCCTGACAGAACAATTAATCAGTGGAACAACCTGCCTCCAGAAGTTGTGAATGTTCCAACACTAGAAGCTTTTAAGAAGAGACTGACAACCATTTGTCTGAAATGGTATAGGGTTTCCTGCCTGAGCAGGAGGTTCGACTAGAAGACCTCTAAGGTCCCTTCCAACTCTATTATTATTTATTATTATAAAATCCAAGGCAAGTAATTTAATTGGAAATACCAGAGTCTAAAACTAGGATCTCCTCCATGTAAAGTTGATGCTTCACCAGTACTCAGACCATCTTTTTAAACCCCTGCAAGCAGCTGGAATTATAGCAAAATTCTATCTACTAAAAAATTTGTTGTTACAGCATGATGTCAAGTGGGCTCTCTCTCTCCTAGTTTTCATGCTGATCATGGAACAGCAAGGAGCAGCAGCAGAAGCTGGGAGGTGGCAAGACTGAAAAAGGCCACCTGAATTAGTTTACGCACTGTCTGAACAATATTACACCCCGATATTAACTCTGCTGTAACTGGCAATGGATACCCAGTCTCCAGGGTAGATAAGAGGACTTTTCCAGACCACAGACTGACAAGTTTTTAAGTAAAGCTCAGGACCTTAAATTAGTATAACCTCTGTGTTCAAGACAGATCCATGTGGAAACAGAATGATCCAGATATACAGTATAGCCTATTAGTAACCACTGCCTTTAAAACCGTCAAAGTCGGTTTTTGCTTCTCTGGTTTTGCTCAAGAGTTGCCAAATGCTGGCTGAATACCGCCCTCCTCTCCTGCAACAGACGTCAAATTCAGAGGTTACAGTTTCCAAGGCAAATTGAACCAGATTACATAATTCACACAAGATATAGCCCAATAAATGGCAGCCCTTTCACACTCCAGCAACCGCACACCATGTCCTTGCAACAAACAGGCTGAACTGGCTAAGAAGAGTACAACTTAAAGACTCAGCTTTAAGTTAGCAGAACTGTTTGGGCTACAGCACAAGGAAGCAAAGATTTCTGCTAAACTCAGAGCCTCCTCTATTCCGGAGCCATTTGAGCAGATGGAAAATGTACAGGAACTGATGAAAAACCTTATTTGGCTAAGATCACCATTTCTGTGCAAGCATAAGAGAAAACCAAAAGCTGTTTCTTTGTGATTTCTGCTTGGAGGAAAGTTTTCCTTTCCACAGAAGACCTTAAGCAAAGAGACATTTACAAATCTGGGTGCAATGTAAACAAAAGCAGCTGATTACAGTCATGAAAAAAGTCTTCATTCCTCCCTACCACAAAATATAAATATGTAAAGCTGTTGCTGCACCCCTTAGTTCAATAATGACTGCACTTATTAGGTAACACCACCCCCCACACTGCCTGCCAGAGGGAAAGAAGTTTTATTTGCCTGGAATGGCCTCTGTGGACACTACCTTTTTTACTTCCTTTAAATCTTTTCACAAAAATAGTCATTTTATTTTGTCTCCTCTTTGGCCAAAATCCAACTTTATTGTACATCACTGAAACATGGCAAACAGGTAGTCCTTGACTTACAATAGTTTGTTTAGTGACCGTTCAAAGTTACAACAGCACTGTTATGATCGTTTTTCACATTTACGACCTTTGTGGCACTCTCGTGATCAGGTGATCAAAATTCAGATGCTTAGCAACTGGTTCATACTTACGGCGGATGTAGTGTCCCAAGGTCATGTGATCCCCTTTTGCGATATTATTCTGACAAGTAAAGTCAACGGGGAAGCCAGTTTCACTTAACAACCGGGCTACTAACTTAGCAACTGCAGTGATTCACAATGACAACTGAGGCAAGAAAGGTCACAAAATGGGGCAAAATTCACTCAACAAATGTCTCGCTTAACAAGAGAAATGTTGGGCTCAGTTGTGGTTGTAAATTGAGGAGTACCTGTCTTCTCCCTGGTCATCTGCCCTTTGTTGAAACCTTTTGGGATCCGTATCTGACCTTTCTCTTCTACCGTGGACAGCGCTGAGCACTCTGGCGAGGTCCTGTGTCAACAGCTGAAGCAGCAACAGAAAGACCAAACGGGAGCTGAATCACAGCCTCTCAAGGCCTGCCAGGCACCGAAGTCTTCAAACGTCTCCCTGAGTAGAAGTCCTTGTACTTCTCTTCCCAATATCTTCACCTTCAACTCCCACTTCTGACCTAAACAGCCATTAGAATGACTTCAAAGAAGTACAGAATGAGACACCAGGAACAAAAATAACCACAGTGACCTCACCCTGAAAGGTATTTGAAGTATCTAGGAAGTGGAAATGCTGAAAAGCAGAAACCAACCAGTCTTGCCTCAAAGCTCTGTTCTGAATTGTTTGAAATGCAAATCTGCACAGCAGCCACAGGGATTCTGAAACCAGCACTCCACCAAAGCCCCAACATCTGTCATAATTCCCCAACTCCTACAGTGCTAAAGGCAGAGTCTTTACTGTACATGTCAAAACCGCTTGGCCAAAAAAACTCCCAAAAGACAAACAAATGCATGCCAGAAATGTGTCTAAGTTTATTTAGTACATGAGAAAAGCACCTGAAAGCCCATTGATAGATTTTATAATTTCAGACATGGTGTGCTGAATTGAAGACAGGTGGTCCTTAACTTATAACCATTCATTTAGCGACCATTCAAAGTTACAACGGCACTGGAAAAAGTGACTTATGATCGTTTTTCACACTTACGACCATTGCAGTATCTGCATGGTCACATGATCAAAATTTGGACACTTGGCAACTGGCTCATATTTATGACAACTGCAGCGTCCCGGGGTCTGGTGATCGTTTTGTGATCTTCTGACAAGCAAAGTCAACAGAGAAGCCAGATTCATATAACTCAGTGTTTCTCAACCTTGACAATTTTAAGGCATGTGGACTTCAACTCCCAGAATTCCACAGCCAGCATTGCTGGCTGTGGAATTCTGGGAGTTGAAGTCCACATGCCTTAAAATTGTCAAGGTTGAGAAACACTGATATAACTACTGTGTTACTAACTTAACAGCTCCAGTGATTCACTTAACAACGGTCGCAAGAAAAATTGTAAAATGCAGCAAAACTCACTTAACAACTGTCTTGCTTAGCAACAGAAATTTTGGGCTCAGATGTGGTCATAAATTGAGAGCTACCTGTATACCCGTGTGGGAAGTTTCCCAGTAAGAAAATTAACTCAAGACAAAAAAAAAACACAGGCTATTGGGACCAAAATATATTTGAGAATATCTCTTTGTCAACAGAAGATCTCTAAAGGGACACGTATTTATATCTCCTAAAAAGAACCCCCATTAATATACAGCATTTTAAAAACACTTACCATAGTACATCCACCCAGGGATTAAGGAAATAAACACGTATACAGCCACTGTTTGTTTAGCATTATGTTCAAAGGATAATTGGTTTGTTGTTCATTTAATATACCAGAATTATTAATGAGGATTTGTTTTTGGCTCATGAAGAAGCAAATTCAGATGTAACACATTTTTTTTAAAAGGGCAGAAAATTCTTGGTTTCTACAGCACTCCTGCTAGCAGGAATTTTTTTACTGATTTATCAGAAAATAAATATAAAGGAAAATAAAAATAG